GTGGTTGGTTAAAAATGTAGACTGAGATTTACTGATGAAACTGCTTGATGATTTTGTAATAATTCTAGCCGAAATTTAGTTATAAATAGTCAGATTAAGTTGTTATAACTAGGAGACCATGAAAGTTTTTACAAAATCTCAATGTTCTTGGTGCTGTTGCCATTGCTGCAAATATATTTGGTCTAGCTTAATTCAAGCAATAAAGTGATAATGTACATGCAGATTATCGATATGTATAACAATGATGAGAAATATTGCAATAGAAACTAATAGTTCACAAGATCAAAATTTGAATGTCAGATATTTTATAAAATAGATTATTATAAATACTTAGATGCACAAATACTTAAAAAACGAAGCTCACCACACATGCAAATATTATAATTGTTCCTAATTTTGATGCATGAATATTTTTTTTCCTTGGTGCACCTGGAGTTCTTTGCAGTGAACCTACTTAGTTATTGCTTCCATTCAATAAGATTGCAGGATGATCACACCTTAATTAAATCTTGGAACAACTAGATAACTTGCACTAGAAAATCCACACTTTACTTTGGTACTCCTATGTACTTTAACACATGGTTTTGGTGGATGTATACCTGGTACTGTCTCATATCTATGTGGGAACTTAAGCCTCGTTTGACAACACTTTGCCCTTGAGAAAAGTGTGTTTAAAAGAAAATTCCAAAGAAGCGTCATCATAAAATTACGGTCCCATAAAATAATATGGGTGTTTGAATACAATATTCACCGTGTGACTTTTTAACTCTATTAAGTATAATGTTAAAAGTTAAGTGACTATTATAACCCTGTCACATCTGAAAATTCAATCGCGGGGTCGCTTTGTTCTTCTCGAGAAGCTACCAGAGTTTTTCATTCTTCTACTCATATCGTGACGCGTAGCCTTTTCAATGGCGCAGATCTCATGGATCCACTTAGTGCAGAACAAAAACTGGTGTCACAAAGACTTACAGTGGTGGGTGGGCTTCCTCATGGTGAGCAATAGCGGGAGCTAGATCCAAAGCTCGGTGCATCATCTTAAGGAGAGGGAGAGAGAGGGAGAGGGAGAGGGAGAGGGAGAGGGATAGAGAGACCTGAACGACATGGACGAGACAATAA